CGCTTTCCCCGCGCGCCCTGACAACGCGACCCGCGACAGCGTCTTGGGCGCCACCGGAGCCCAGAGGAGTTTACGGTCGGGCCCGAGCTCCGCTGCTGCCCGCGTGGGCCCCTAACCCACTGGAGCCCCAGTTTCCTCATCTGCGAAATGGAAAAGCTGAGCAGCCCGGGTTTGCTGCGAAGAATAAAGCAGCCAGAAGCCGTGGGAGCCCCGCAGAGTCTCCTGCGCGTCCCCACCCCACTTCCCCCAGGGACTTAAGGGCTGTGGGCGGGTGGAGGGCGAGAGGGGCCCAAGTCGGTGGAGCCCACGTGTTTGCGAACCTCAGTCGCTCCCATCCCGGAGCCTGAGCCTGAGCCTGACGACGGTCCTGGGCGGTCCGTCCAGTCCCCACTTGAGTTCTGAGCAGCTTGTTAGGAAAAGAAACGTCCGCGCAGCTGCAGAGCCTACCTGGCGCCTGTCCTGTCCACACTAATGAACCACCCCGCCCAGCCGCCTGGCAGGGGACCAGCCGTGGCGGTGATCGACTCCCCTCGTGCTGCCCAAAGCTGCACCCTCTCGCCACAGGGGGCTATGTTAGCATCCCCCCAGAAGGGTGTGGTCTCCATGCCTTTTTCCAGTCACTAGCGCCCCATAAGTAACACCTATGGTCACGCCTATTCGGAATTTTGTCACCAAGAATTAGCTTTGCCCTTTCGAAACCTCTTTAAACAAAACCATGCTGTATGTATTCTGTTCTATCTGGCTGATTTTGCTTAACGAAACGTCCATGAGATTCATCCGTGTCGTTGTAGTGTTAATCCATCTCCCTGCCAGGGGACCGTTGTTATTTTGTTGTTGTTCCTGTAAATAATGAGGCAATGAGTATTCTTACACCTGCATCCTTGTGTGCGTGATGCAGAGTCTCTAAGATATATATCGAGAAGTGGAATAACCAAATTGATTATCTCTAGTCGTTGGCAAAGGTAAAGAAAGCTACTGTGAATATCCCTGTGCATTTCTGATACACATAAATGCTCACTTCTCTTGGGTTTATACCTGGGAGAGAATTTCAGATCACAGGCCAGGCCTATGCTTAGCTTTCGAAGGTACGAGTTTGCAAAGTGCCTGAATGAATCCACGCTCCCCGCAATGTGTAAGAAGTCCACGTGCTCCATATCCGGGTCAATATACGATATCATTAGACTTGTTCAATTTAGCCATTCTGGCTTTCATTTACATTTCCCTAATAAGTCATTCAACGGACCCTTTTCATATGCTTTGAATATTTCTTAATAAGAGAAATAGAACAATACAAAGTTGAAATCCCCTTTTTCATCCTTCCCAGTCCTATCTCCCTCCCTCCTCAGAGACAAACAAACATTACCATAAATTTGGTAAGTACCCTCCTAGTCCATGTCATTTTTTTACCTAAATAATTTATATGTTTACATAAAAATGTATAACTGCTTTATGTGTTTTTAATTCACATAATTATTTTCATGCTGCAACATGCTTTGTTTTCACATTTGTTGATACACGCAAATCCAGTTTATTCATTTTATGTGCGAAATAGCATTCCATTGAATAGCAACAATTTATTTGCCCACTCTTCAGGTGATGGACAGTTGGGACATTTCTCTGTCGCAAGCAATGCTGCAATTAACACTCTCTTACCTAGCTCTTCGCACACACACATGGTTCCACTTCTGCGTTCATCTTGATTCCTTCACTAGGACCAGACAGAAGGCAAAGGTTAAACCCTTAGTCCCTGGAGCCTTCTGGCTGGCTTCCATTTCCTATTCAAGGGCCTCCTATGGTCCCTGGCCACCTGAGCACTGCGACAAAGAGAAGTGACCTCAGCGTTCAGGAGTAACTTAGTCCCTCCTAAGAAGGAGTGGGGAGCTGCGTCTTTCTCCAGCCCTGAACCTAAATTAACTATAACATCCTTACACTGGGATTTATACACATTTCAGTTTCCAAAAGGTCATTCGGTTACACCGTCTCCCTCCAGAAAAAGACTTGAGGTAGCTTATTATTTTGAAACAGGAAGATCGCAGCGTCTTACATTTTAAAAGACTGGTTCTTTATCTTAATTGGCATCTCTTTCCCCTGTACGCTGTTGAGTGTACAGTCTCTCCTTAAAACCTTCCCAAATGTCCATCGAACCACCTCCCACTTCTCAGGCCCCTGTGGAATCTTCGCCTGTATAATTAAACTCAGAGGTCCCCTACAGCTCTTGCCTTCACTTTTCTTCTCCACACTCTTGCTATGCCATCTCATCCCCTCTCGAGATTGTAACTAACATTTCTAAACTTTCAAATATTTATTTCCAGACCTTTTTCCCCCTCCCTCAAGTCTTTTAGCCAATCACCTGTAAAACCCCTAACCTTCCTCTAAAGACACCCTGTGGAAGAAATTTCTAGTTGTTTCCTTATTTCAGATCTCCCCCTTTCTAGTTAGTAATAAATACGTAGGTGCATGGATTCCTGGAAGAAATATTATATTTCCCAGCCTCCCTTGCAGTTGGAGTGGTCATGTGATGGTAGGTTTCCAGCAAAGGAAGCCTATACAAACTTCTGGAATGTATCATTAAAGGAAGGGAGCAGGCACCTTCACCCTTGTTTCTTTCTGATGGATGGAAGGCAGACATGAAGCTAGATTCCACACCATGAGGTGGAAGCCGTGTATTAAGGATGGCAGCCAAAATGGATGGATCCTGGATCCCTGAGTCACAGGGATCATGCCAACCAAGCCTGACATAACACCAACATGAGAGAAAAATAAAATAAAATGTCCATCCTGTGTAACCTCTATGTGGGGCGTTTCTGACCTTCACAATCGAGCCTAATCCTAATACCTCAAACCTCACGTGGATCTCCCCAGGAACCCTTCAACCTGAAAGTCATTTCCTTACTGCTTATGCAAGTTTCAGTCGTGTTTCAGCAGCTGAATTAGTTTTCTAGAGCTGCCATGGCAAGGTACCACAAACTAGGTAGTTAAAACCACAGAAATGTGTCCCCTCACAGTTCCAGAGGCTAGAAGTCCAAAATGAAAGTGTTCCCAGGGCTGGTTCTTTCCGAAGGCTGTGAGGGAGCATCTGTTCTATGCCTCTCCCCTTGCTTCTGGTGGTTTGCTGGCAATATCTGGCATTCAGACCTCTGTAATAATATGGCAAAAGGGCCTTCATGTGGTGAAGGTTAACTGACCTTGAGATGGGGAAATAATTGGTTATCTCGGTTTACAGATGCCTCACCCTGATCTCTGCCTTCAGCTTTGCGTGGCCTTTTTCTCTATGTCTTTGTCTATGTCTCTTCTCATCCTCTTTTAAGGACACCAGTCATGTGAGATTAGGATCCGCCCCGATACAATACGATCTCATCTTAATCCGATGACATCTACAAAGACCCTATTTGCAAATAAGGTCACGTTCACAGGTACGAGGGGTTAGGACTTCTACATAATTTGGGGAGATCATAATTCAACCTACAACAGTGACTTAAACCCAAAATTGACCTACAGTAGGCAAAATCATCTTAAAGGAGAATAAAGTTACACTACTGATTTCAAGACTTCCTATAAAAGTACAATTTTTAAAACGGTGTGGTATTGGCCAAGGATTGGCAAGTAGACCAATGGAATAGACTCCAGAAATAGATACACACATATTTGGTTAATTGATTTATGAAAAAGATGTCAATGGAATTCAATGAGGAAATGAAAGTCTTTTGACAAGAAATAGATACACACATATTTGGTTAATTGATTTATGAAAAAGATGTCAATGGAATTCAATGAGGAAATGAAAGTCTTTTGACAAGTGGAATAACTGGAATGACTATCTGTACAGACAAAAAAGCTTACTATAACATCTTCTATGCACTCTATACAAAAACAAATTCCTAAACATAAAAGCTAAAACTACAAAGTTTCCAGAAAAAAAAAATATGGGAGCATATCCTCATGACTTTGATGTAAGGAATGAGCTTTTAGATTAAAAAAACAAAAAACAAAAACAAAAAAAACAAACAAACAAACAAACAAAACACTCACTAGTC